AGAAAGAACCAGGCGAATAAATGAGGTCGTGGGTGCGTTTTCCTTTTTGGAGAGGGAGAAATTCGCTTTTCAAAGGCGAGGGGAAATTTATCGCGGGTGGGTGAAAGGATTTTCCGCGCGTCGAAAGGTCGGCTTTGCGTGGGCTCCGCTTTTTTTGGGAGTGGGGGGGCTTCCCGTTTTCTTGCGAGCCTACGGGCGTTCCTCCCCCTCTCCCGACGACCACCAGGGAGCCCCAAATTTATGTTGCTAAGTGAGACACGCGTTCAGCCCTGTTTCTTGCCTCGGTTGTGAATGCGAATGACGGCGGTGGTTGAGTTAGTCAGCCGGTCGTTAAACGAAGCTGGCCTCCCCCCCCCACACTCTTGACCTGGCTCGTCAGAAGGTCGCAAAAGGGGAAGCTGAGATCGTCGTAAATGTGAGTCAGGGGCCAAAGCGTTTTGAATGTTGGATCGTGGGGGGAAGGTGCGACGGTCGTTAAGTGTGGAAAAACGGTCCCGCATCGCTTTCTTTGACTTTGAATGGTCACTAAATGAACTGTTGTCGTTCAAGGACTATCTGGATTTTCCTGGCCCGGAAATGGGGCTGAAGAAGGCAGATATGTGTGGTCTGACAGTTAGAACAATTCACCCGTGGAACAGCTTGCCACCAGAAAGTTGCGAATGCTCCAACACGGGAGGTTTTTAAGAAGAGATTGGACCAACGGTATATAGGGCTTCTGGCCTGAGCAAGGAGTTGGACTAGAAGACCTCCAAGGTTCCTTCCAACTCTTTTATTCTAGATCAGTTAACCAGTGGAACAACTTGCCACCAGAAGTTGTGGCTGTGCTCCATCAGTGGAGGTTTTGAAGAAGAGATTGGACAGCCCTTTGTCTGAAATGGCACAGGGCTTCCTGCTTGAGCAGCGGGTTGGACTAGAAGACCTCTAAGGTCCCTTCTAGCTTTATTTTTTTTTCTTCTTCTGTTTATTCTGTGTGAGGTGACTTCCTTCGAGGCCAGTGGCTTGTAAAATTGGAATATTTAAAAGACAATATTCTTTACCTTAAGTGTTAAGTGTGGGTGGGCCACACACACCTTTCTGAGTGGGTGGGTTTGGGCTTGTGACTTTTAACATAGTTGTGCGTCATTGACCTTTTGGGCCTTGTCACCACCCCCAATTAAATTTCCCTCCGGAAGCAGGGCTCATGCAAAGCCCCCCCCCCCACTTCCCCCTTAAAGGGCAGGTGGGTTTCATACCACCTTCTCCGCCGCCCCCATTTTTAAGGACAGATGGGTGAAAAATTGCAGGAAGGAAAATCGGATGGTTTTATAACGGCAGATCCCTGCTGGAGACAGCCACGGCCGTAAGTACAGAGGTAGTCCTCAACTTATGACCACAACGGAGCGCCCAAAATTACGGTCGCAAAGCGAGACAGTGAGTTTGACGGCCTTTCCCGCTCCCGTTGTTAAGCGAATCCCTGCAGTCATTAGGTTAAAGACACAGTTGTTAAGTGAATCTTGGCTTCCCCATTGGTCGGAAGTTTGCCAACCCACCGTCATAAGTACGAGTTGGCTGCCAAGCGTCTGAATTTTGATCACCGGACTGTGGGAATGCTGCAGAGTTGGAAGGGACCTTGGGAGGTCTTCTAGTCCAACCCTCAGCTCAGGCAGGCAGCCTTACATACCATTTGAGACAAATGGTTGTCCAATCTCTTCTTAAAAAGTGATGGAGCCCCCCCCCGTAACTTCTGGTGGCATGTTGTTCCACTGGTTAATTGTCCTCATTATCGAGAAATTCTTCCTTAGTTCCAGGTTGCTTCTCTCCTTGATGAGTTTTCCATCCGTTGCTTCTTGTTCTACTTTTGGATGCTGTGGAGAATAAATTGACCCCCTCTTTTTGGGGGCAGCCCCTCAAATATTGGAACATTTCTCTCTCTCTCTCTCTCTCTCTCTCTCTATCTCTCTATCTCTATCTCTATCTATCTATCTATCTATCTATCTACTCTCTCTCTCTCTCTCTCTCTCTCTCTCTCTCTCTCTCTCTCTCTCTCTCTATATATATATATATATATATATATATATATATATATATATATATAAAATAGTTAATGATCTTAATGGATCATTTGCTGGGTATTCAGTGAGTGTATTTTTCTCCAATAAACATTGGTTATAATTTGGGAGGAGAGAGAGAGTTTGGTGTCTCCTATTGATGACGACACCCGCTGGAAATCAGAAGGCCACGAGTTCAATTCCTGACGTAGGCCCGAAGCAGCTGACCCGACCCCCCCCCCAAGCCAGCCACTCTCTCTCAGCCCTAGGAAGCAGGCAATGGCCAATCACTTCTGAAAAACCTTGCCAAGAAAACAGATTTGTCCGAGAAAACACCAGAAGTTCAAGCAGGCACCCCGAAAAAACCCTCCCCAAATAGGTCGGACGATGCCCTTCCCTGCCCGGATGTCCAGAGAGGATTATTAGATCCAGTTTGGATTATAAATTGGTAATCGGTGTCCACGTTTTTTATTTTTTTGCCTCGTCTTGCAAAAGAGATGGGTTTTCTTAGCCGATGTCGTTGCTGACCCAGCTCAGAGAAGGGGAAACTCTGCAACTTCCCTTAATCAAAGTCTGCTCCTCTTCAACGCTTCCTTGTTTTGATGATCTTAATGGTTCCCCTTAAATCTAGAGAGAACAGTCCCTGGCTTTACAGAGCCAAAGGTGAAGTAGTCAGCTGGCTTTTAATTCCTCCCCCCTCCCTCCCCGTGGGGTTTTACTCTTTCGTGTGTGATCGGAAAAGCTTTTGTTAAACTTGGAAGAGGCAGAAAATGGTCTCCCTGCAATCATTTGAAGGCGGCGGTTCTCGATTTTAACAACTTTTAAGATGGGTGGACTTCAACTCCCAGAATTCCCTAGCCAGCACAGCTATCATCTATCTCTCTAGCTATATCTAGCTATTTAGCTTGCTATCACTCTATTATCTCTCTATCTAGCTATCTAGAGGTAGATAGATAGAGATAGATAGATAGATAGATAGATAGATAGATAGATAGATAGATAGATAGATAATAGATATGAGAGAGAGAGAGAGAGATAATAGAGAGAGATGAGAGAGAGATGATGGATGGATAGATGGATAGATAGATAGATAGATAGATAGATAGATAGATAGATAGATAGATAGATATGATAGATAAAGAGAGGATAGAGAGACAGATATAGAGATAGAGAAGATAGATAGATAGAGATAGATGATAGATAGATAGATAGATAGATAGATAGATAGATCTCTATTCCTCTCTCTATTTGTCTCTATCTATCATCTATCATCTCTCTATTACTGTATCTTTTTCTCTCTCTATCATCTATCTAGCTATCATCTCTTTATCTCTCTCATCTCTCTATCCCTCTTCTGTCCATCCACCCACCCATCCATCATCTATCTATCTATCTATCTATCTATCTATCTATCTATCTATCTATCTATCTATCTATCTATCTATCTATCTATCTATCTGTTTCATATCTCCATCCATCCATCCATCCATCCATCCATCCATCCATCCATCTATTTATCCTCTCTCTATAATCTATCATCTATCTAGCTATTTAGCTATCCTCTCTCTGTGTCATCTATCTTTCTATCCCTCTTCTCTCTATTTATAATCTATCTATCTATCTATCTATCTATCTATCTATCTATCTATCTATCTATCTATCTATCTATCCTTTATATCATCTATCTAGCTATCTAGCTCTTATCTCTCTCTCTGTGTCATCTATCTTTCTATCCCTCTTCTCTGTATCTCTCTATTTATATCTCTCTATCATCTCTCTATGTATCATCTCTCTCTATCATCTCTCTCTCTCTCTCTATCATCTATCTAGCTATCTAGCTATCTCTCTCTCTCTCTCATCTGCCTGTCTGTCTGTCCCTGTGGATTTTATTTCTCTAGCTCTCCATTCTTTAGATTCATTTCAAACGCCCGTCGCGTTACGAAATGCCTATCAGGGTGAGAATTCAAAACAAGCTTTTTTCCTCCCCGCTGTTAACCCCACACGGCCTCGTGGCAAATGTTCCCCCAGCCCCGATGGAAATTTTTTTAAAGATATATATATATATATTATAATAATAATTCGGTTTCTTTCCATTCAGCGCGGGGCAGAGAAAGGGGTTGCGTGGCTCGTATGTGGACACACTCACGCAGGCAGACTTCTTACGTGGTGACCGTATTTGCCCAAGATTACAGGAAGCGTGACTCAGAGTGCTAGTGAAGTGTGATTGTCACGTTTACTGTTAGCCTCTTATTTTGGAAAAAAAAAAAAGTGAACACAACACAATTGCGGCCGCTGGAAACTTTTAAAAGCCGCAAGCAGCTGTAGCTGCCTCGACGCCTTTTTTTAATTTTTGTGCAAAAAAGTCAAAACTTGGTCGGTTTCACAGAAGAGAGGAAAGAGAATCTATTCACCTCTTATTATTATAAATCAGGGTAGAGCCCGAACAGACCACGGTTTAAGTCTCTGTCCCGACTTGAACTATCGTGGCTTCTCCCGAGCATCGATTGGGCCTCCCCCCACCCTCCCAAAAAAATTTTTTTTTGTGCTTTGAAGCTGTGAAACCTTTCCAAAAAGGCCTCATCCTGCATGAAGCGTGAAAATTTCGTTCTTAAAAAACCTCCAGGGATGGAGCACCCACAACTTCTGGTGGCAAGCAGTTCCACGGGTTAATTGTCCTTAACTGTCAGGGAGTTTCTCCTTCATTCCATGTCTCCTTGGTTCATTTCCACCCGTTGCTTCTTTTCCTGCCTTCAGGTGCTTTTGGACGATAAGATGATCCTTTCTTCTTTGGGGCAGCCCCTGAGATATGGGAACACCGCTCTCACGTTTCTGTCATTAACAAAATAAAAGGGGACCTCAGAGGTCCTCTGGTCCAGCCCCCTGCTCAGGCAGGAGACTCTGTGCCACTCTTGTCCAAACTCTTCTTAAAAGCCTCCAGTAATGGAGAACACACAATTTCTGGTGGCAAGTTGTTCCACTGATTAATTGTTCACAATTTCTTCTTAATTCTAGGTTGCTTCTCTCCTTGGTTAGCCAGCTGATTTTCGGGCCTTCTGAGCCTACCAGAAGTCAGGAAAAAAATGGGCTGTTTCCGGCCTCCAGAGGGCCTCCGGGGGTGGGGAAGGCTGTTTTCACCCTCCCCAGGCGCCAAGAATGCCTCTGGAGCCTGGGGAGGGCAAAAAAAAAACCAGGCCTACCAGGCCCAACATGTCATCGCATGCCAAAAGCGGGGGAGCATGGGGGGGGCGCATTGAATTATGGATGTGGGCACGTGTGTGTGTGACCACCCCCCCACCACCACTTTTGGCACGCGACGGCAAAAAGGTTAGCCATCATGCCCTAAACCATTTCAGACTAACGGTTGTCCAATCTCTTCTTAAAAGTGATGGAGAACAAACAATTTCTAGTGGCAAGCTGTTCCGCTGACGAATTGTTGTCACTCTCAGGAAATTTCTCAGGAGCGGGTGCGGTGGCCTAGAAGTGCAGCTCCAGCCTCACCATCAGGAGGCTTGTGAGTTCGATCCTAAGTAGAGGCAGATATTTCTCTCTCTCTCTCTGGGCACAACGAGAAATAGATCTGCCGAACAAAACTCCTCATTGGAGACAGGAAAGGCATCCGGCCATTAAATAAAATACACTCTGCTATCTCCATTCAGTTGCCCAGATTCCACTCCGCAACGGATTACGGGGTCGTTAAAAGAAGATGAGGATGATCAGGAAATGTCTCCTTAATTCTAAATTTGCTTCTCATCTTGGTTTAGCTTCCATCCGTTGCTTCTTCTCCTGCTTTCTGGGGCTCGGTTGTTTCGAAGTTTAGGAGACTCAAATTAAGGAACCCAAATTTGAGGAAGCTGTGGAATACATATATATATTAAAATATATATATATTTTTTTAAAGCAAAGTGTGACGGCCGTATGCCGTGTCAGCTCCTTTGGGCGGTTGTGCAACGTGATCCATTCATCGCCGAAAAAAAAAGGGGGGAGACATCCCAGCCGAAGTGGGGTGAACTTTAGACAAGACGTCGGCAATTTCATATCCGTAGGGGGAGACCCACAAGTTTCCCTTTCCCAGCTGATGAGATTTTTTTTTTTTTTTTTTGGTTTGTTTGAATCATCACCGTGATTTGATCGGCGACGTGACACTGCCCAGCGCGGCGATGGGCTTTAGTGCACGAACGCCGCAAAGTTGCCCCCAGAAACGGAATCGATTCGTTAGATCGTGGCTTCCCACGGAACCACATTTTGCAAAGAGGGGTGGGGGGAAGGCGAACGGGCGTGAATCGATCGTTCCTGGGTTAAGCAACCCACCTTGGACGTAAGACAACCGATGGGGTTCAAGGCCAGAGTTAAAGATTTCGTAATCTCCTGGATGGATTTTTGTCTTCCTTTACGGCAAACCACGATTGGTGGTTTCTCCTTCTAACTAGCCGACGAATGCTTGGCTTTGTCCAGGAAGACCAAAAATGGTTTGTTTCAGGATCGGAGGAGCTCGTAATTCATTGAGTACAGGCAGTCCTCGGCTTACGACAGTTTGCTCAGTGATTATTCGAAGTTACAACGGGGCGCTGAAAAAAAGCGAATTTAGGAGCGTTTTTCACAGTAGCATCCTCGTGCGATCAACATTCAGGTGGTTGGCAACTGGCTCGCATTTACGACGGTTGTAGTGTCCCGGGGAGGGGTGTCACGTGATCCCCTTTTTGCAACCTTCTGACTCGATTCACTTAGCGACGGTGGCAAAGAAAGGTGGTGAAAACGGGGCAAGAGTCACTTAACCAGACGTCTCGCTTAGCCCCATAAGTTTGGGGCTCATTTCTGGTCATAAGTCAAGGACTATCTGTACCCATCAAGGAAATTAACCCTCCCACGGGTTACCTAACCGCCTGCGCCAAAATAATAATTAAAAAAAATAGAAATTTCCTGTCTTTGTGGCTTCTCGGGAGGTTGTTAAATGTTTGCTGAAATGAAACAATTAAATGGTTCTGAAAAAGGGCTCAGCTTCCCCTTTGCTTCCAACTCCAGAATTAAGAGACTAAAATGTGCCCGAATGACAAGTCGTCCTCGAATTACGACCGCAATCGAGCCCAACATCTTCGCTGCAAAGCGAGACCGCGGTAGAGCGAGTTCGACGACTTTCCTTTCCGCACGTTGTTGAGCGAATCACAGCAGCCGTTAAGCTAGCCACGCGGTTGTTAAGCGAATCCGGCTTCCCCCCTTTAATTCGCTCGTCGGAAGGTTCTCAAAAGGGGGAATCGGGGGACCCCCCAGGCAGGCTGAAACAGTTGCCGAGCATCCAAATTTGGACCATGAGCGTGAAAAACGCTCCTTTTTTCAGTGGCGTCGTAACGTCGAACGGTCATTAAACGAACGGGACCGCCTGTAGTCCTTGAAAGAAGAGGAGGGGGGGGAAATGAGAAATAAGGATCAAAAGAAATCCTTTTGCATTGGAGGAAATTCTTGAAAAAAACACCGAATTTTCCTCCCAGCTTCTTAGCCGGGGTGGTAGTAAGGAGCAGTCAGCAAACTCACCTGGTTGCAAATTTATTTTTTGTTTCCTTTCCCGCAGGCTCAGGGGCTGCCTTACACCCCCTCCCAGGGGTCTCGGTGCCTCAACCCCAGAGAAGAATATTACGAAGAAAACATCCAGAAATGTTGCCGTTCGTGCCCTCCAGGTAAGCTGCCGAGCCCCAGAGGTGTCGCTCGACTGAAACATTGCTGTTGTGGCCCGTACGCGGCCTGTGCAGCTAATAGCTGATTCCGACAGCGAGGAGGCTGGTGTGGTGCTGCGCCGGCAGCCTGTGCAGCTGGCGCTCGAGTCGGACAGTGAGGAGGCTGGAGAAGATGTGGTGCCAGAGGCAGGGATTCAGCCAAGGCCTTCAGAACTTCCAGAACCTTCCATAAGTGAAGAGGACGAAGAGGAGGAGCCTCTTCTCGATGCACGGGCACGCAGAGCTGCCAAAAAGGCAGGAGTGGCTCCTCAGGAGGAGGTCTCCTCAAGAATAAGGCTTGGGGCTAATTGGCCACTCCCTTAGCCTATTTAAGGAAGAACGCCGACTGAAGCAATTTGCAGGGAACAACTTCGTTCACATTCCTTCTTGTCTTGTCTTGCTTATCTTCTCAGCTTCCTGCAAATTGCTTTCTGGGCATTCTGCCAACCACAGTAAGCTTTCAGTTATTATTCTTTGAATTCTTGGCGGCTGTTAATGCAGTTCATTAACAGCCGTTGGTGTAAAAAGACTGGTTTATTCAGTAAACCAAGGTTTGAACGGACTTTGTGTGTGCTGCGTTCTTTGGGATCCGTAGCTGGGGCAGAACAATTGCACCGAAATCACGATTGCGCATCAGGAGGTCGTGAGTGGCCCGCGCATGTTTCTCACTGTAAAAAAAAAAATGCAGTTCCGGCAAGTCCTCAACGTACAACTGCGACGGAGGCCGGAATTTTTACACTGCTGAGTGTTTTTACGACTTGTCTCGCCCCCATTTTTAAGCCAATCGCTGCACTTGTTAAGTTAGTCCCACGGTTGTTAAGCGAATCGGGCTTCCCCCCTCGACTTTGCTCGTCGGAAGGTCGCCAAAAGGGGGAAATCGGGGGGGCACTCCCGCTACCATCGTAAATACGAGCCGGTTGGTGGCCAAGCGTGGGAATTTGGATCAGGTGACCACGGGGATGCCGGAACGGCCGTAAGGGTGAAGAACGGTCCTAAGCCCCTTTTTTTTTTCTGTGCTGTTGTAACTTGGAACGGTCACTAAATGAACGGTTGTAAGTCGAGGACGACTTGTAGACATCCAGCGACGCAGCACCCACAACTCCGGATGGCAAGCCATTCCATTGATTCATCATCTTCATCATTTACGTCATCATCATCATCTTTTAACGACCCCATAATCCGTTGCGGGGTGGAGTCTGGGCAACTGAATGAAGCTAGCAGGGTGTTTTTAATGGCCGGATGCCTTTCTTGTTGCCAGTACGGAGTTTTGTTCGGCAGATCTATTTCTCATCGTGCCCACAGAGAGAGAGAGAGAGGGAAATATCTGCCTCTACCTAGAATCGAACTCACAGCCTTCTGACTGTGAGGCAAGAGCACCACTTCGAGGCCACCGCACCCACGCCAAGCTGTCCCGTTGATTAATTGTTCTTAATTAATTGTGCATCATTGATGAACAATTAATTGCTAAGGAGGGAGACCCAACCATGGAAGGGGAGAGACCTCAGACTCCGTTCAGAGTTTGCAGAATCTATATCCGGACACGGTTTCAAGGCCGGCTTTTCCCCTTCTCTGTTACAGGTTTCCGTGTGCAACAGAAGTGCGACAACGGTGTCAACACGCAATGCGTCCGGTGCGCGGAAGGCTCGTACAACACGGGCTGGAGTCGAGCTGGGAGATGTTTTAGTTGCTCGCCACAATGCAAAGAAGGTAAGCAGAGGGCAGGTGGCATAGCCGGAGGAGGGACATAAGCCTCCGGAAAAGAGGAGGAGGAAGAGGAGGAGGAAGAGAAGGACAGGAGGACGAGAAAGAGAGGAGAAGGAAAAGAAGGAGAGAAGGAGGAAGAAGAGAGAAAGGAGAAGGAGAGCAGGAGGAAGAAAGAAAGAAAGGAGAGGAGGAGGAGGAGGAGGAGGAGGAGGAGGAGGAGGAGGAGGAGGAGGAGGAGGAGGAGGAGGAGAAAAAAGGAGCAGGCAAAGGAGAGAAGGAGGAAGAAGAAGGAAAGGAGAGAAGAAGGAGAGGAGCAGGAGGAAGAAGGAGAGGAGAGGAGGAGGAGAGAAGGAGAATGACAGGAGGAGGAGAAAAAGGAGAGGAGAAGGAAAAGGAGAAAGGAGAGAAGAGCAGGAGGAGGAAAAGAAGAAGAGAAGGAGAGAAAGAGAGGAGGAGGAGAGAAGGTGAAGGAGAGAAAGAGGAAGAAAAGGAGAGGAGAAGGAAAAGGAGAAGGAAAAGAAGAAGGAGGAAGGAGAGAAGAGCAGGAGGAGGAAAAGAAGGAGAGAAGGAGAGAAAGAAAGAGGGGGAGAAGGTGAAGGAGAGAAAGAGGAAGAAAAGGAGAGGAGAAGGAAAAGAAGGAGAGAAGGAGGAAGGAGAGAAGAGCAGGAGGAGGAAAAGGAGAGAAGGAGAGAAAGAGAGGAGAAAGAGAGGAGGAGGAGAGAAGATGAAGAAGAGGAGGAGGAGAGAAGGTGAAGGAGAGAAAGAGGAAGAAAAAGAGAGGAGAAGGAAAAGAAGGAGAGAAGGAGAAAAGAGGAGGAGGAGGAGGAGGAGGCGATAATGAGCAAACATATCCTATCTTTGGCCCTTGACTTTCTCTTTCCACTTAACGACCACCGTTCAGCCCAAAATTTCTGTGGCCAAGCGAGACCACCATTAAGGTGAGTTTTGCCTCGCTTTGTGGCCTTGCTTGCTTGCCCCCGTTGTTAAGCGAATCACTGCACCGATCACCTGACATTCCCCGGGGAATGCTGCAATGGTCATAAGTGTAAACAACGGTCGTAAGTTCCCTTTTTTTTTTTCAGTGCCGTGGAAACTTCGGGATGACGAGGGCCTTTGCCTTCTTAAGGCCTTAAATGGCAGTCGCCCCCCCTGTCGGAGACCACCAAGCTGCACCCCCCCCCCGGTCTCCTTCCAGCTGCCCCCTTTTGCCCCCTAATAATCCCCCCCCTTTTTTTTCTGAAACAGGATTTGTGGAAGAAAAAACCTGCACCCACACCCAAAACCGGGTATGCTGGTGTCGACCGGACCACTTCTGCAGCTTGGTGGTCTCCGACAAATGCTACCACTGCCAGCCCTACCAGAAGTGCGCGATGGGCTACGGAGTGCTCCGAGAAGGTAGATTGGGAGGCAGTGTTGGTGCCCATCAAATATATATTTTTAAAAAGTGCGTGTATGTTTCTTGCTACGTTGCAAAACAAGATCGGGCGACAGGCGAGATCCTGGTCCTGTTCTAAGTTGTTTTCGTTAAGACGTTTCATGACCCAACTAGAGAACATCATCAGTGCTGGAAGAGAGTAGAGTTTGCAGAGAGGAAGAGGAGGAGGAGGAGGAGGAGAGAGGAAGGAGGACTGTGAGATGCTTGGTGCTCTCTGAGCGTGGCTCTTTTCTTGGAAATGTTTCCTGACCCAAACAAAATTAACACCATCCTCATTTCTAGCCCTGATGATACTACCTAGTTCGGTCATGAAACGTCTGTGAGAAAACAGCCAGAGCAAAGTTATTGGAGCAATAAACCTCGCAGGGCAATCAACGTTTTGTGCATAAGCACAAGGTACAGATCATTTAGATTTCCTAGTACGGTTTTCTCTTTGACATTTTTTTTTCCCCTTTTCCAAAAAAAAGGAATACCTTCAATAATACATATATATTATTATATATATATAAATTTAATAAATAAATAAATAAAATAAAAAAGGAAAAATGGGACAGGAGAAACGGCTCCTATCGATGGCGCTGCATAAATGTTTGAATCGTAATGTTTAGTTCCTGATTCGCACAAGTTTTATCGACGGGAAAAGGAAGTTTACAGAAAGGCAGGAAAAGGCCGGGAATTTTGGCACAAAGATGGCGGGACGTTAGCCAAGCAGAATTTGGCTCCGGCTTCCAAAATTTAAGAATAGTCAAAGAAGTAGCTGGATTTGAAGGAGCTGGATTTCAGCTCGTATACAGGTCGTCCTCGACTTACGGCTCGACAGAGGAGGCCAAAATTTCTGCCGCTGAGCGAGACCGTTTCTGAAGTGCTCCGTTTTACGACTTTTTCCTGCCGCGGTTGTTCAGCGAATCACGTGCCCTTGTGAAGTGGGTCGTTAAGCGAATCTAGCTTCCCCATCGAAAAAGGCGATCACGTGACTTCCGGACTCACTTAACGACCCCGTTGCTAAGTTAACAACGGCACTTACCAACCGTCGTAAAACTCACTTAACAAATGTCTCACTGAGCGGCGGACATTTTGGGGCTCCCTTGCGGTCGTACGTCGAGGACTAGCTGCGTTTTCCAAAACGTGGTATCCAAGGAAATCAGGCTGACTCCAGAAAATAATATGATAAATTATAATAATTTTTAAAATATGTCACTAGTACGTATTTATAAAATCTATACTCCGCGCCAATCGGTCGCCACTCTTGATGCTTACAAAATAGGCAGAGAAAATGGGATTTAAAAACCCCACAGATAAATAGCTTTTAAGCCTCTAAAACCTGGGTGTGAATAAAGAAATGTTATACACCTTGAGCATCATTTGACGTTCTATCCGCCCCGAAGCTTAAGGGAGAGTCCGGAAGATTACAATCACGTAGGTGTGTGTGTGTGTGTGTGTGTGGGACTCTCCCTGGCACACTGCGTGGAAGTGAAAGTTGGACTTTGAGAGAGAGAAAAAAAAAAGGCAGGACGGGAGAGGACATTTAGGCTTTTTGAACTTTCGTGTTGGAGAGGACACGCTGGAAAGGCGAGCCAATAAACAAACCAGAAGGTCATTGAACCATCGAGCCGATGATGTTTCCTGCCTGAGCAGGGGGTTGGACTAGAAGACCTCCAAGGTCCCTTCCGACTCTGTGATTCTATTCTATTCTATTCTATTCTATTCTATTCTATTCTATTCTATTCTTGTATTTTATTCTATTCTGTTTTCTATCCTATCCTACATTCTATTCTATTCTATTTACTCTTCTGTTCTATTCTACATCTTTTCTGCATTCTGTTCTGTTCAGATTCTATTCTATTCTATTCTTCATTTATTCTATTCTATTCTTCATTTATTCTATTCTATTCTTCATTCTATTCTATTCTTCATTCTATTCTTCATTTATTCTATTCTATTCTTCACTCTATTCTATTGTATTCTTCATTCTATTCTGTTCTTCATTCTATTCTATTCTTCATTTATTCTATTCTTCATTTATTCTATTCTATTCTTCATTCTATTCTATTCTATTCTATTCTATTCTGTATTTTATTCTATCTGTTTTCTATCCTATCCTACATTCTATTCTATTCTATTTACTCTTCTGTTCTATTCTACATCTTTTCTGCATTCTGTTCTGTTCAGATTCTATTCTATTCTATTCTTCATTTATTCTATTCTATTCTTCATTTATTCTATTCTATTCTTCATTCTATTCTATTCTTCATTCTATTCTTCATTTATTCTATTCTATTCTTCACTCTATTCTATTGTATTCTTCATTCTATTCTATTCTTCAGTCTATTCTATTCTGTTCTTCATTCTATTCTATTCTTCATTTATTCTATTCTATTCTTCATTCTATTCTATTCTTCATTTATTCTATTCTATTCTTCATTTATTCTATTCTATTCTATTCTATTCTATTCTATTCTATTCTATTCTATTCTATTCTATTCTATTCTCTGAAGTGTGGCAAATGGCCATACTCGGAACCAGAAGCAACGGATGGAAACTCATCAAGGAGAGAAGCAACCTAGAACCAAGGAGGAATGTCCCAGAAACAATTAAATCAGTGGAACCACTTGCCACTAGAAGTTGTGGCCACTCCAACGCTGGAGGTTAAGATTGAGATGAAAAGCCAAAGATCTTGGCTTGGGATGAGACCTCCTCCTCCAGCTATTCTCCTTCCCTACTTCCTGGGGGAAGGGGATGTTCCTCCTCTGACATCAGAAATAAGGCCAGATTTACTCCTGACGGGCTAATTTGGACTTACAACAGTTCATTTAGTGACGGCTGGTTGGAAAGAGGCAGATAGAAATAGCATGGTCAACTTCCACATAAGCTTAAAAACTCAGGTTTAATTTTAAGGTGTATCCCCCTAGCCTCTTTTTCCTCTTTCCTCTTGAAGGCTACCTCTTGAGAGAGGAAGGCTGGGAACATTTGAGATAGGAGGCTGTTGCGTTGCCGTTTCTTGTGTATATATATATATATATTATTTTTTTTAAGGTGGTGCGTTCCTGATTTCCTCACATTGTTGTGTTTCCAGCGAGTCGGGCATTTTTTTTGGTGGGCTCCAAAGTGTCTGTCCAACTTTTAAAAGCCATTTCCTCTCCTCTCCCTTTGCACTTCTCCAGCTGCAACCAGCCCGTGGCGACTCTTTTGAGAAATTCTCGTTTCTTTGCAGGCACCAGAGAAACGGATGTGGAATGCGCCCTGTGCCAACCGGGCACCTTCTCCGATCATGAGTCTCACCAGAGTTTCTGCACACCTCACCGGATGTACGTTGGTGGCTGTGTTGTTTAGACACAGCTTTGGGGAGGAGGGAGCCTGCTTTCAAACCCTTGCAGGGGAGGGAAAAAAAGCTGCAATAAGTCTCGCGTGCCTCCAAGCCCTCAAATTGTTTATTATGATTTGGAATAGAATGGAAGGGGAGGGGAGGGGAGGGGAGGCAAGAGAAGAGAAGCGAAGAGAAGACGAGAGGAGAGGAGAGGAGAAGAGAGGAGAAGAAGAAAATAGGATAGGATAGGATAGGATAGGACAGGATAGGATAGGATAGAAAATAGAAGAGAAAATAGAGAAGAGAAGAGAAGAAAACAACAGAACAGAACAAGAAAATAGGATAGGATAGGATAGGATAGGATAGGATAGGATAGGATAGGATAGGATAGGATAGGATAGGATAGGATAGGATAGGATAGGATAGGATAGGATAGGATAGAAAATAGAAGAGAAAATTAGAGAAGAGAAAAAGAAAATGGATAGAAAATAGAAGAGAAAATAGAAGGGGAGGAGAAGGAGAAGAGAGGAGAGGAGAAGAGAAGAGAAGAGAAGAGAAGAGAAGAGAAGAGAAGAAGAAAAAGGATAGGACAGGATAGGATAGAAAATAGAAGAGAAAATAGAGAAGAGAACAGAAGAGAAAAAGAAAATGGATAGAAAATAGAAGAGAAAATAGAGAGAAGGGGACGGGAGGGAGAGGAGAGGAGAGGAGAGGAGAGGAGAGGAGAGGAGAGGAGAAGAGAAGAGAAGAGAAGAGAAGAGAAGAGAAGAGAAGAGAAGAGAGAGAAGAGAAGAGAAGAGAAGAGAAGAGAAGAGGACAGGACAAGACAGGACAGGACAGGATAGGATAGGATAGGATAGAAAATAGAAGAAAAAATAGAGAAGAAAAGAGAAAAAGAAAATGGATAGAAAATAGAAGAGAAAATAGAGAGAAGGGGACGGGAGGGAGAGGAGAGGACAGGAGAAGAGAAAAGAGAAGAGAAGAGAAGAGAAGAGAAGAGAAGAGAAGAGAAGAGAAGAGAAGAGAGGACAGGACAGGACAGGACAGGACAGGACAGGACAGGATAGGATAGAAAATAGAAGAAAAAACAGAGAAGAAAAGAGAAGAAAACAACAGAACAGAACAAGAAAATAGGATAGGATAGAATAAAAAATAGAGAAGAAAATTAGAGAAGAGAAAAAGAAAATGGATAGAAGATAGAAGAGAAAATAGAGGGGAGGAGAGAGGAGAGGAGGAGAAGAGGAGAGGAGAGGATGGGATAGAATAGAAAATAGAGAAGAGAAGAGAAAATAGAATAAAAGTTCTAAAATAAAAACTGGCACAGCACCTCGGGGGGTTGGGAAAGATGACCTCTGGATGCCATACCTAACCTCCTTACTGGAAACACCTCCATCCTCTAAAATAACCGTTGAACTTTCTGAGGGTAAGAAAAGTTGTGTCATAAAAATGTCACGTTCGCACAACAGAGACCTTGGTTTGGAAAGTCCTCCAGTTAAGTTTCACTTGTTTCACAAGTTCACTTATTTCACTTGTTCATTTTGATGGTGGTTATTGTTTTGTTTTTGTTTTTTTCCTTCCCCTGACAAGATGTCAGTCGCCGCTCGTTCTCGGAAACAGCACCCACAACACCGTTTGCGGCAACCCAGGTGGGCAGGTTGACCCCGCGACAACTTCAACGCAACTCACAACCTCTACGAAGAGGCTCAGGTGGCACGTTGGGACCGAGAGACCCACCTTCAACAAACAGGATCCGTCAGCACAGACTGGTGAGCAAGAGGGGGGAATAAATTGTTGGCATTTTCCTTCTAAAGGTGGGTTTCGTTTAGAGTAGGGGGTCTCCAAACTTTGCAAGTATAATACTTGTGGATTTCAATTCCCAGAATTCCCCCAGCAGCCATTTTTAAGAGTTGTGGACTTCAACTCCAGAATTCCAGCAGCCATTTTAAGATTTGTGGACTTAACCCAGAATTCCCCAGTCTGTCACTTTAAGATGTGGACTTCAACTCCCAGAATTCCCCAGTCAGTCACTTTTAAGACTTGTGGACTTCAACTCCCAGAATTCCCCAGCAGCCATTTTGATTTGTGGACTTAACTCCCAGAATTCCCCAGTCTGTCACTTTAAGACATGGACTTCAACTCCCAGAATTCCCCAGTCACTTTAAAACCTGTGGACTTCCACTCCCAGAATTCCCCAGCAGCCATTTTAAGAGTTGTGGACTTCAACTCCCAGAATTCCCCAGTCAGTCACTTTTTAAGACTTGTGGACTTCAACTCCCAGAATTCCTCAGCAGCCATTTTAAGACTTGTGGACTTCAACTCCCAGAATTCCCTAGCCAAGTCCACATGGTCATGTGTTTTACATTCGGACGCTTGGCAACTGACTCATATTTATGGCGGTCGCAGCGTCCCAGGGTCACGTGATTTCCCCTATTGGTCCATGGAGAAGCCCAATTCACTTAACAACGGTGTTTCTAATTTAACAACGGCAGTGATTCGCTTAAGAAATGCGGCCAGGCAAGTCGTAAAATGGGGCAAAACTCACTTCGCAAATGTCTCACTTAGCGACCTAAATGCTGGACTCCCTTGTGGTCATAAGTCGAGGACTACCTGTATTCTAGAGATGCCATAGAAATGCTGGAGGAATTAGGACAACCTGAGATGATAGCCAAGGACGACACCTCTCTGCTGCCCTCTAGTGTCTGTTTAGAGGTTCCACAGCTTAAATACGATATACTGCAATAACCAAAACTTTCCCAAACATTTTCCACTGGTTTTAACCCATTTTTTCCCCGGAATAGAGGAGGCCAGAGAAAACTGCAATTTCTTAGCACGGCTTGGTCCTCCTAACTGTGCATTTTTATCTCTTTGTTTTGCTTCCAGGGCGGATTGTCGGCATGACAGCTATTCCGGTGGTGCTAGCGGCTCTCATTTGCTTTGTTGTTTTTAGAAAAAGTGGTAAGTTGATATAAATATATATATATCACTAAAGATCAAATGGAGTGTACAGTCACCATGTGCTTTACTGCTTAACTGCTTAACTGTAACAGCAAACAAAGGAACATAGATTAGTAGATTCAAACTTGTAAACACTGCCATCTGGTGGCTGAATATTATTGTAGTTGTTGCACAGTATATATATATATTCCAACAATGAATTCCAACATTTAATTTTCTCTCTGGCAGGTCAAAAGTGTGTCCCCTTATGGGAGGAGCAAAAACAGGTGAGCATTGATCTCTTTTGGGTCTGGAAATCAGAATTTGGGCAGCTTCCTCGTCAGAGACACCAAAAGCGAAAACGGGGCTGCCAGGTCCCCAATTTTGGGTCTGGGGTCCTAGCAGATCAATCCACCAATGACGTTCGGCTTCCCCGTTTCCTTCCAGCCGTTCTCGCCGGCCGAAAAGTTCCCGGGGAAGTGGCCTCAGGAGCCCACAGCCGTGGGGCAGGAGAAGGACAGTCTCTTGCGGATGTCCCCCTCCAGTTTTTGGGACAGCCCTGAGAAAAGAAGCGAAACCAACGACGGAGACCCTCCCAAGGTGGAAACGGACGACGTGCAACAGAGATCGTTGAACGACAGGACATGCTACAGCGCAGAAGACTCAAGTGAGACCCTTGGGGTGGGGGGTTAGATCGGGAGGGGGGGGGCAGCTCCATTTGTGGGGTGGTGGGTCGCATCAGGCCAGACTGGGTCCTTGGAAGCCTAGGATTGTGGGGCCTTTGGTGCGCCCCGAGTTTGCCTTGGAAATGTTTCATGGCCGTACTAGGGAACGTCATCCATGCTGGAAGGGAGTGGTGTTTGTGGAGTGGAGGGGGAGAAAGAGGAAAAGGAGGAGGAGAAGGGGGGAGGAGGAAGACCTTGGGGTCCTTGGTGGTCTCAGAACTTGATGGTTTTCTTGCAGACGTTTCATGACCCAATTAGGTAACATCATCAGGGCTAGAACTAACATCAGCACTGATGACGTTCCCTAGTTGGGTCATGAAAAGTCTGCAAGAAACCCACCAACCTCAGAGACGACCAAGGACCTCTCATTTCAACACTGAGGTACAAATATTCTTTCTTTCTTTCTTTCTTTCTTTCTTTCTTTCTTTCTTTCTTTCTTTCTTTCTTTCTTTCTTTCTTCTTCTTTCTCTTCTTCCTTTCTTCCCTTCCTTCCTTCCTCCTTCCTTTTTTCTTTCTTTCTCCCTTTTTGTTTCGGTTTCTCTCTCCCTTTCTCTTCCTTCCTTCCTTCCTTCTTTTTCTTTCTTTCTCCCTTTTTGTTTCGGTTTCTCTCTCCCTTTCTCTTCTTCCTTCCTTCCTCCTTCCTCTTTTTTCTTCCTTTCTCCCTTTTTGTTTCTCTCTCCCTTTCTCTTCCTTCTTCCTTCCTCCTTTCTTTTCTTTTTTCTTTCTTTCTCCCTTTTTGTTTCTCTCTCCCTTTCTCTTCCTTCCTTGCTTCTTCCTCTTCTTTTCTTCCTTTCTCCCTTTTTGTTTGTTTCTCTCTCCTTTCTCTTCTTCCTTCCTTCTTCCTTTTCTTCTTTCTCCCTTTCTGTTTCTGTTCCTCCATTCTTTCTTTCTTTCCTTTCTTCCTTTCTTTTCTCTTTCTCTGCCTTTTTCTTTCTTTCTCTCTCTCTCCTTCCTTCCTTCCTTCCTCTCTCTCTCTATTTCTTTCTCTCTTTCCTGGTTTCTCTCCCCCCCATTCCTTCCTTCCTTCCTCCCTCCCTCCCTTCTTTATTTATAACACATTCCTTCCTTTTTCAGCAGGGATTGTGGGAAATGGGAAAACCCATGTGAACGTTAGCTGTGTGGTCAGCATCTGCAACGGAGGCCACTCTCCGGCGTTGAAGCCCCGGGGGCGGCCGAAGCCGGACACCTCGCAGACCCTCCCCTCTCACAGGAAGAAACCACCACGAGAAGAGAGCCCGGCCGGCCAATTGCGGTGGAGGTGGAAGACAGTTTGGACTTCTTGGACCCCTGCGGGGGAAAACCCCTCCCGCTTAGCGTCCAAGACGCCGGCATGAAGAACTCATGAGAACGACGGAGGGTATTCCGGGCAGGGACTTCCACCCTGCTCAAGAAACTCCATGAAAAACTGAGGCAGGCGGGAAGTTTCTGAAGGGGGGGAAAAAAACTATTTAGGCAGTCCTCGACTTGGGACTATTTGTTTACCGACGGCTGACGTCGCAACAGTGCTGAAAAAGAAAAGGCGATTTAGGACCCCGTCCTCGCACTTACGACCGTCGCAGCATTCGTCGTTGTCGCGAGATCAAAATTCAGAACGCTTAGCAACTGACTCACATTTACGCTGGTCCTGGGGGGGGCCGGTGTCACGCGATCCCCTTTTTGCGACCTTCCCAGTCAGCGGGGACAGACGGTGGATTTGCTTTAACGACCGCGTGACTAACCGAGCAACCCCAGCGATTCGCTTAACGACGGCGGCAAGGAAGTTCATCCAAGGGAGCAGGATTCCTTGTCTTGCTTGGCAAGCAAAAATTTTGGGCTCCTTTGGGGGGGTCGTAAGTCGAGGACAACCTGGCGTTGAAGTCAAGGAATAATTGTCCCGAACCCCGAGAGATGATTTGCAAGCTTTCTTAAAAACCAGTCTTAAAAACGCACAATTTTTCCCCCAAAAAACATCTCATCATCTCAGTTTATGGCGGTGCCAAAATTTCAGATCAGCCGTAAACGTCTCTCTCTCTCTCTCTCTCTCTGCTGCCCCCTTATGACTGTCCAGATTTCTGCAGCCGAAATAGTAGCCGAGTTTTAATTTCAGGGTTTTTTTTTTTTTCATCTTCTTGTTGTCGGTCTTTCCTATTTTTATACTCTTGCTGAATAAAGTGCAATTTTAAATAAGAGAGTAGAAAACCACAACGCTTGCGTTTATGCCTGTTTTAGCTACTCGCTACTTGCTTTTTAAAAGTCCGAGTTTTCCACGGCAAAGATTGCAAGAAAGAAAAACACAGATTCGACTTGGTTTTTATTGTTGTTTGTTTGGGTTTTTTTGCACAACGTCTTACATACACCGGCCTGGCCTCCGAATTATCCTGCGTGGCCGATGAATAAAGGTTTCCAAGTTATCAAAAGTTGGCCCAATTTATGTTGCCTTCCCAATTTCAGCATAGAAACCGAAATTGAGAAAGGAATTATTTAAACCTTTGGGACTGGATTTTCTTGGGTTTTTTTTTTTTTCCCCCTTGAAAAAATTTCGCTTCTCATCCAGGAAGATTTTTTAGTTTTGGATGGGAAGCGAAATGTTTCCAAAGAGGAAAAAAAAAAAAACCCTAAGAAAATCCAATTGTTTTTTGGGAAAAAAAGCACCTTCAGGACGACAGTGATGGAGATATATAATCTAAACCCGTCTCTAACAAGTTTAGCCTAACCTGGAGGGTTTTGCTATGGCCAGTGTTAGTTAGCCTGTTGTAAACACATCCAATCATGGCTTATTCAATAAACCATGATCAACTATGATGATTTGTGCACATGTTGGTTCAGCAGCCCCCACCGTTTTCAGGTGTGGCGAATCTTTCTCACTACACATGACACTGGAAACCATGCCTCCCTTCACCACACAGGCCACACTAATAAACACCTTCCTTTTTTGGTGCAAATATCTTAATCCCGACGCTTGAGGGGTCTCCAGCGACCTATTCTGGCAATCCTTTTTTTTTCCCTGGGGATCTCCTGGTGGTGCTCCATCCCAGCACTAAGCCCGCTCTGTGATGTTTCACTGGGTCGTATGTCCTTGTGTACATGTGCGTAATAGTTATCATTTGAGAGCTGAATGCAACGAAATTTCACTTTAATGTATGCTGATTAGTGAACATTTAAAGGGACAATAAAGTTTCTATTCTGTTATCTACTCTATTCTGCATTTTTCTGCATTCTGTTCTATTTTATATATTCTATACTTTTCTATTCTATTCCTATTCTATTCTATTTAAATTCTATTCTATTCTATATTATTCTATTTTCTATATTCTATTCTATTACTATTTTCTATATTATTCTATTCTATTATTGTTTTCTATATTCTATTCTATTCTATTCTATTCCTTATTCTATTCTATTCTTCCATTCCATTCCATATTCTACATTTTATGTTCTATATCCTATATTCTACATTTTATTTTCTATATCCTATAGTATACAGTCTACGTTCTACATCCTATATCCTATAGGCTGTATTCTATATCCTATATTTTATATTCTGTATCCTATAGTCTATATTCTTTATATCCTATATTTTATATCCTATATTTTATATTCTAGTGTCTATATCCTATATTCTTTATTCTATATTCTATATCCTATAGATTCTATATTTTATATCCTATATTCTATATCCTATAGATCCTATATTTTATATCCTATAGTCTATGTCCCATATTGTATATTCTAGATCCTATAGTCTAGATACTATATGCTTTATTCTATATTCTATATCCTATAGTCTATATCCTATAGTCTACAGTCTATATTCTGTATCCTATATCCTAGTCTATATTCTATATTTTATATTCTGTATCCTATATTCTATATCCTATAGTCTATATCCTATAGTCTACAGTCTATATTCTGTATGCTATATCCTAGTCTATATTCTATATTTTATATTCTGTATTCTATATTCTTTATTCTATATCCTATATTCTATATCCTATAGTCTATATTCTTTATCCTATATTTTATATTCTTTATCCTATATCCTATATCCTATATTCTATATCCTATATTTTATATTCTATATTCTACATCCTATATTTTATATTCTATATTCTAGTCTATATCCTATATTTTATATTCTACATCCTATAGTTTACAGTCCAATATCCTACATTTTATATTTTATATTCTACATCCTATATATTCTATTCTCTGAGATCCTCCCAGCATGGCTCGACACCGCCCTCTAGCGGCTCAGCCTCTACACCGCCCGCTGTGAGGAGAAGCCCCGCCCCACGCCCGCCCCGTCCCTCCGTCGCCACGGCAACCGCCTCTTCCTCTTTCCCTCCCCCCCTCCCACGCCCGGGAGGGCCGATCTGGCCGCTCGGCGCTCGTCTGTCGGGGCTGCGCGGCCAGGCCTCGACCTGACGGCGGGGCGGGACTTCCGGCGGGGCCGCCGCCGTGCCCACAGCAGCGTCGCAGGTAGGGAGCAGGGCCGGGGCGGGGGGGTCGCCGGGCAGGGGGGCGGGGGCTCCTCAGGGGAGGCGGGGGCCCGAGGGGGGAGAGCGCTGAGCGGCCCCCCCGCCCGAAAAAGGCGGTGACGACTTTTACCTCAGCTGTCGCAAAGCATGCCGGGAACGAAAGGGGAGGGGGGGAGCGCGGAGGAGCGCCCCCGCCCCTCTCCTTTCACACCCCCCCAACGCCAGCCCTGCGAGGTGGGCCAGTACCCATTTTTTCCCCCCCACAGACACATTTTAATTTCCTCCCACCACAAAAAAATATAAAAATAAATAATAAAATAAAATAAAAGAGGAAGGGGGAGGGGTTTCTGCTGGGGGGCCCCTCACCCAAAAAAGCTTCCCCCCCCTTTTCCCTTCCCCTGAAGTCAGTCCTCGATTTATGACCACAGCTGAGGGCCTCCCCCCTCAATGGCCATTGCTAAGTGAACTCTGCCCTGTTGAACGACCTCGCTCCCCGCGGTCGTTAAGCGAGTCGCCTGGTTCATTGAGTAACTTGGTCGTTAAGTGAGCCTGGCTTTTCCCCACAGGCCAGGAGGTCGCAAAAGGGGGATCATGTGACCCCCCCATCCCCACCCCGGGACGACATAAATACGAGTCAATTGCCGTCATAAATATGAGTCGGCCGCCCAGCATTTGACCACAGGTGCGGGGGGGGAATGAAACACCGAAACGGTCATAAATACGAGTCTTCTCAGTTTGGATCGTGTGCTTGCCCTGGTTGTTAAGCGAGTCGCCTGGTTGTTAAGTGAATCGCTTCCGTTGTTCGTTGAGTAACTCGGTCGTTAAGCGAGCCTGGCTTTTCCCTACAGGCTTTGCTTGGCCAGGAGGTCACAAAAGGGGGATCACGTGATTCCCCCCCCCGGGATGGCTGCAACCGACATAAATACGAGTCAGTTGCCGTCATAAATATGAGTCAGCCACCCAGCATTTGGATCACCTGACCATGGGTGGGGGAGGGAGGAAACGCCGAAACGGTCATAAATACGACTCTTCTCAGTTTGGATCGCATGCTTGCCCCGGTTGTTAAGCGAATCCCTGCAAATGTTAAGTGAGTCATGCCGTCATTAAGTGAATCCGGCTTGGCTGGTCAGAAGTTCGCAATAGGCGGTTGAGCATGTGATTCCCGGGACACCGTCATCAATATGAGTCAGTTGCCAAGCTTCCGGATGCTGCTGCAACGGTCATAAGTGTGAAAAACAATCCTAAATCCCTTTTTTTTTTCAGTGCCGTCATAACTTGGAACGGTCGCTAGATGAAGTTGTTGTAAATCGAGGACTGCCTGTAGGAATAAAGTTGTTGGTTTTTATAGCGCTGTATCTTTCGATGATCTGGGTGCGATAGACAAGTATTACCGCATTCTTTCTCTTCCTCCCCACCCACGGAAAAGCGGAGGGGGGGGTGCTGGGCGAGGAAGAAGAGCCTGGAAAAGTGTGCGTTTGTGTTGTTGTCGAAAGGGCCACCGCCTCTCCCTCCCTCTCCACACTAGCTTGACTTGAAATTAATCTATCGTTTAATGTCCCTTCATTCCTTCCCTTCTTCTTTCTCTTTCCTCTTTTTCTCTTTCTCCTCCCTTTCTTTCCTCCCTCCTCACCCTCTCTCTTTCTCTTTTCTCTCTACTTCCTTCCTCCTTCCCTTCCCTTCCCCTTTCCTTTCTTTCCCTTCCCCTTTCCTCCCCCTCTCTTTCCTTTTGCTTCCCTTCCCTCTTCCTCCTTTCCTTTCCTTTCCATTCCTTTCCTTTCCTTTCCTTTCCTTCTTCTTTTCTTTCCTTTCCTTTCCCTTCCCTTCCCTTCCTTTCCATTCCTTCTTCTTTCCTTTCCTTTCCCTCCTTCCCTTCCCTTCCCTTCCTTTCCATTCCTTCTTTTTTCCTTTCCCTTCCCTTCCCTTCTTTCCCATTCCTTTCCTTTCTCTTTCCTTTCTTCCTTTCTCGTTTTCCTTTCCTTTCTTCCTCTTTTTTCCTTTTCCTTCCCTTCCCTTTCCCTCTTCTTCCCTCTTCCTCCTTCCCTTTCCTTCTCTCTTCCGCCTTCCCTTCCTTCTTTTTCTTTCCCTTTCCTCCTTCCCTTCTCTCTTCCTCCTTCCCATCCCTTTTCTTTCCTTCCTTCCTTCCTTCCTTCCTTCCTTCCTTCCTTCCTTCCTTCCTTCCTTCTGGTTTTTAAAAATTATATTTGTAACACCAGTTTCCTTTTATTTGATTTAACTATGGAGAAAGACTAGCAAAATAAAACACAGAAGCAATAGTCAACTGAAGCACTGGCTCACTCACATAAAACTTAAAAACAAGATATAAAAATGTGATACCGGTGGGATAAAACAAAACAATAAAAATGGCCCCTGTAGAAATTATTCTTTTCGGTAGAAATCACAACCAATAATAATAATGATGATAATAATAATAATAAATTAGCAGCTCTACTACTGATGGTAGGAGCACAAGAAGACAGAGACCAATCCTCCCCCCGTCAAAGGTTGAACTTTTCTTAAAGAAAAAAAAACTTTTTTTTTTTAAATAATTTTTATTAATATATTCTATACACTAATACACTGATTTTATACTTATGGACAATGTAATCATATTATACCATGGTGGCAGGATTGTATATTTTATTTGTGTATTAGTGTAAAGAAAAAAAACTTTTGTTGTTGTTAAGATGGCTGGCTGGGGAATTCTGGGAA